ATATTAGGGGTTGGAAGGGACCTCCAAAGAGATGTTCAGAAGTTACAGAATAAACACATGTACTTGCCCCTGTTTTTCTTCTTAGTCCCCGCTGATGACTATGTGAAAGGAAATTAAATTTTACTTAGGGCAGGCATTCCAAGTCAAACCTTCCAAGTTAAAGCTGTTGCTCTGGTTTAAGAGGAGGCAGGAGTGATTTATAGTGTAGCCATTCCAATTTGCTCATAACTGTGAATGTGCCTTTTTTTCCTTGGATATAATGGAGGTTTTATGGCTCAAGGATTCTATAAACCATAATTCCATCTAAAAATTGTGAGGAAAGCAGCAGAAATTATTTCATGTATGATACTATGGTCTAGTAGTGGTCTAGGCAGTTTTTTTCTTTTATAATTTAGAGGAGTTTTAGTGCTTTACATTAAACTGAGAACACTGAATATGGCTTTGTCAAGAGAGAGAGATGAAGTGTTTTCAGTCTAACCTCTCAGGAAAATAAGCAAACCAATTTGAAACAATTTATTTTATCTTTCTTGTAATTGATTGCTCTTCTGAGAATAAATGTCTATGTAACTTGATCAGTTTTTAATTTAAAATCATGCAGCTTTCTGGAGGCCACTTTTTCATATTGAGTGTTATTACTATAAGTCATTTCATTTCACGTATCAGGGAAGAGACTTAATTAGTAGCTGCACATTGCAAGTTAAATAATTGGATTCTTGCAGTGCTCTAAGACTAATACATAGATAAACAAAACGACTTTTCAGCACCAACTGTTTGTTTTTAATTCTAACTGTCTTAAGTGGTTCCTCCAGAAAATTTTGAAAAATAAGAGAATCAAATTATTCATCATTGTCTGTTAAAAAAAATCCTTGTGAACTGTTTTATGCCTTTGTATTCACATTTGCCTCTTCCATTTTATCCACCAGTGTCTAATGCTAGTGGTTTGCTTCTTTTTTGTTTGTTTATTTTGTTGCTTTTGTTTGAATGTATTATTGTGTTTATATGGAACTGGTCAAAGAGCCATTACTGTATTTTATGTTTGTATCTACATTTTATTTTGCATGCTTAACGTGGCTTTGCCTGGATATTCTTTTTGGTAAGTTCAGAATTTAAAAGCATAATGTTTTCCTGTAGTAAAGTTTGTAACCTGCCACCTTTTCTGCCACCTCAAGTAACGTAATTGTTTTTTTTGTGCTCATGTACTGTTCTGCTTTTCCTAACTATACATATGATAACACTGTTTACCTAACTACCCGTTTTCACCTCTAGCAGAGCTAAAGAATATGACTTTGGTACTAACGTGTACTAATTGGACTGACTTGAAAGAATAGTTAGCAGCTGTTGGTCTGTTCTGAGAACTCTGTGCGTATTTCAGACACACAGAACCTCAGTCTCAGAAAACCATGTTAAGGCTTCTTTGCATAGCTTGGTGGTCACTCTGTGCTTCGCAGGTAGTATTTTTCAGCAGTCTTCTCAAGGTCTTCTAAGATCAGTGTGCATGTATGTTTCTTTTTTAGCAACAGCTTGCTCAGCTCCAGAAAGAGAAATCGGAGATTCTGAAGAATCTGGCATTGTACTACTTCACTTTTGTTGATGTTATGGAATTTAAGGTAAGTTACTGCAAACACATCAGTTGTTCTGTTGCATCAGGTTTCTGTCTTTTCTTTTTTTTTCTTTTATGAAATGACACTATGTAAGCGCTGAACTTGTAGCTCTGTTCTTTCAAATAAAATAAAACCAGTCTCCATCACTAAGCAGAGTAAAATGTTTTACTTAGGTCTTCTATAAACTGAAGTTATTTCTTTGTTTTTCAAGGACCATGTTTGTGAGCTGCTGAATACTATTGATGTTTGTCAAGTCTTCTTTGATATTGTAAGTTTCTGGTTTTTAACTTTCAAATGCTATTTTATTTCTTATCAGAGTCATTAGAATTAGTAGGACTTAATAGCCCAAGAAGCATGACATCTCTAGTACTGAAACCTTCATATTTCTAACTTTGACAAACAGCTTGAAGTCAGAAACTCGGCCATTTTAAACAGTGTACTTGTCAACAGCAGTAACAGCATTCATAGCTCATTACCAAACATAGAAATCTTTTTGTACTTTTTGCTTTATTGTGCCTGCAGGTTTATTCATACAGGTTTAGTGTCATCTGCCTTCTTAAGCCAGTTGAGTTTTCGAAGCAGCGATTTTGCTGCTGTCCATCATAGAGATATGTGAGGAGGTTACTTCTGCTGTTGTCTAAAGCAAATACAATGGTGACTTAAAGTGTTATATTTTTAAAAGCCCAAAACCGCCAAACACCAAGAAAACCTCAACCACCTTTTTCTTTTGGTTTAAGCTTTCTTATCTAATTTTCATCGTGTCACCTTGCTAGTTTTAGTCATTACTCTAAATTTTTACTGACTTGCTTTCTTGCTGGTGTAGGGGAGCAGGTGTGATGGAATTATCTTAGCAGGTGAGGGGCATTATGTGCTAGTTTTTCATGTAGGAGAGTCTATTTAAAATGTTATTCACAGGGTGAGGCAGTTGCTGACTGATGGGTACCATCCCAGAAAAATTTGCCTATCTGTCAGCTGTCCTGGGTCACTTGAGCCTGGAGAGATGTTTGCATGCTTGCTTTCATGAATACAAACAGGTCTGGGGATTTGAGTGAATAAATCAGGATTATATCAAGTCTCTGCAACCCGAACAAAACCTTTGTTCAAGACAGTTTGTTGTATCTAAATAATGCTCAAAATTGGTGGGAAGGTGAGGAAAAGTTAAATACTTGTTTCTGAAAGCTTTAGAATGGTAACTTAACGTTTTTACCTCTAGACTGTCAACTTCGATTTAACAAAGAACTACCTAGATTTGATTATAACCTACACAACCCTCATGATTCTACTGTCTCGAATCGAAGAAAGGAAGGCGATCATTGGCTTGTATAATTATGCCCATGAAATGACACATGGAGCAAGGTAAGGAATCTCGTGTGTAAGAATTGTGTTTAATGAGAGCAATGATAACTACACCTGAGTGAATTGTTTGTTATTGCTTTTAGTGACAGAGAATATCCACGTCTTGGCCAGATGATTGTGGATTATGAAAATCCTTTGAAGAAAATGATGGAGGAATTTGTACCTCACAGTAAAGTATGTAACTACTTTTCACAGAACACAGTAACCTGGATAGAGAGGAGCAGAGATAAAAAAAGTAAAAATGCAAGAGTTGGTTCTGTCAAAAGCCACTAGGTGTAAATCTTACTGGAGATTTTGCTTAAAATGGATGTCTGGGCTTTTTGCTTGGGGCTGTCCTTAAACTGGGAAAGCTGGAGATCACCACTGCTTCTTTTGTGTTATCTCTTATACTCAAAAGCTGACATTGCCAACCCTGCCCAGTTGACTTTGGGAAGTTAAATGAACCCAATTCCTTTACTCTTTTCTGTACTAATGTTCTTAAGCTTTTATTATTACACAGCTGGTCAAGCTGCAGTTCTGTGATCATTTATCTAGGCTGTGTTTTCATCTGACAATACCTTAAAGAACTGACAGAAGCCTCGTCAAAGTCAGTGTGTATCCTGTTCATCACTTCTGGTTTGTCCACTGGGTTTGCTTCTCTGTGAAAGGAAACTAGATTTGTTTAATTGGTACTGGCTTCCTTATAGAGCCATGAGTTTTTAGGTGCTTGCAAAATGATGGCCTGACAACTTTGACAATCTTGGGCAGCAGTTGAAGTTGAATAAGTTACTGCCTCAAGTTTTTAAAGTTTTGGATTTCTCCCTTGTTTTGGTTGTGTTTTCTTTCTCTAGCCCTCTTGAGATTTTCCTTAATTTCCTTAAACTTTTGAAGATAGTCACTAGAAAGTCAAGAGTTTTCGAGCTACTACTTGAAGTGTTCTGGATTTAAATACTTCTCATTTATGTAAACAATCCATAATCTTATTTTTGCTATGCTTCCTTCTGCACAGTTCCCATCTTGTTAAGAGTTACTTTACTAAGGATTGCATTTGTAATTAATCTTTTCTTGTATACATTATCACGAAGATGCTTCTTCTCAGTATTTTTTTTTATGCTTTCATATGTAATAGTAGACCAGTAATTTCTCTTGAAATGTTTTTGAAGCCATTTTTCAGTCTGATGTTTGCTCTACTGCTTATTCTGTGCTAGAGGTAGAAACTGAGGTCAGGGATCCCTTCAGGCATCAAGCTGTAGGAACAGATCTTGAGTTTACACTCTCATGGAACTGCACACTCTTCCATCATTTCACTTCTTTGCAGCCAACATGGACAGTTGTTTAGTCTTTGAAATTAGCTTCAGCAGATGACTTTCTTTTCTGCATGAATGACCTTGGCTGGCATAAGGCTTACCTCTGGCTTCCCAGGGACTTATATATGCACTGGTATTGATGCACAAGACAGGGACAAGGTGTGGGACAGCACTTCGATAAGTTAATCAGCTGCAAAGATGCACTTGTGAACAGCATCTGCTCAAAATAATTATAATTGGCTAACATACTAAATGAAGTGGCAGAGAAAGGAATAATACGATAATTGGGGTGCTTGAATAAATAATTAACTCCCAGTTGTACATGACAGATTTTTTGTCTTCGTGATGTTTGTCATGTCCAATAATTCTGAACTTTGAGCGTTAGAACTCGTAATTAAAAACTAAAAAAGTCAAAACCTCCTGCTTCTCTTCATCTCTGCTAGCCTGGAATAGTCTTTGATATGTGAAATGAATTAGATGCAGTAGGTTTTAACCTTAAGTTTAATTTCAGAACCAGGTCAGTAAAAACGTTTTGACTGATGTTAGAAAAGTTGGTGAGAAAACACTACTGATGAAATTATTTAGTCTCTCTTGTGCTTGGAGTATTGCAGTGTCAATACACAGCTCACAGCATGAAGTAAAGAACTAGGATACTGCTTCAAGCCTGAGCCTTGAGAATATCTCCAAACTAACCTTTGGTCTCCTTTTTAGTCCCTTTCAGATGCTCTGATCTCACTCCAGATGGTCTATCCTCGAAGAAATCTCTCAGCTGATCAGTGGAGAAATGCACAACTACTGAGCCTCATCAGTGCCCCCAGCACAATGCTTAATCCTGCACAGTCTGACACAGTATGACCTTTTCATTTGCATTGGATGGTAGAATTAAACAAGTTGTTCTGCAGTATAATGTAGGAAGATTTTATTTTCTATTTAATTACCCTTACATGGTTAGCTCATGCCTTAATTTTTGGTATTAGATAATCAAAAGATAAAAGGCAGCAATGTTAACTACTGCAGTGTAGAAGGAAGGAATCCTGTCTACTGTCTGGGGTATTTGTGGGCCAACAGGCTGAAAATCAGAAGTGCCATAAAATCTTTACTATAAAATCTTAAACATGTTAAAAATCTTTAACATAAAATCTTTACTATTTGCATTCTCTCCCTCAGTTATAATATGGATGGTCACCTTTATGAAAACTTAAGTTAGTTTGTGATTAGTGTACCTTAAAAGCCTTTAGTTCTTGAGTGTTTTTATATGCAATGTCTTTTGAAGCTAAGTATGTGTCCAAGTTTGTTCACTGTTTTTTTCAAGGTGTTATTGGACAATATGGAAGTTCATTTAAAGCTCACACTCTCCATTTCTACAGGGATAAAACAAGGCCCTGTTAGTAATCAGAGTTCAAGGCTTTCATTGTCCCATTTTTTTCTAAATAAATGTTTCTTATGAAATACAGTCTTTAATGTAATTGGTCTGCTACAAATGACTGTTTTTTTTCAACAGATGCCATGTGAATACCTCTCTCTGGATGCAATGGAAAAATGGATCATTTGTGAGTAAAAAAATTCTGAAGTAGCTCATGGTTGTATAAAAAAAAACCAACCACATTGGAAGGACTATTGGCTTTTCAGTAGAAAAGATGGTACATTCAAAATAGATTCTAGAGAACTTGAAGAAATGTTATTTGTGCGTATCATATTCCTATACGCTGTGAAGTCTGATTTCAGCATATAATGGACTGGAGTTTATCATCAGTTTATTCCAGACTTTATTTAAAAGTAAGTTTTAGTCATTCTGATGATGATAGCTCAATAGGCTCAGCATTAAGTAATTGATGTTACAAAAATACCTTCCCTAAAACAGTGTGGGGTATTTTGTATGTAAAAACCCCCATATTATCCATTAAACAGTTTATCAATGAAGTATTTGAACTATTTAAGAGAAAATGCATAGTAATCTCACTGTTCTCTTACTCTGTGCATCTGGTTTGTGACATACATCAATGTGAACTTTTGAAGTTGGATTTATTTTGTGCCATGGAATCCTAAATAGTGATGCTACAGCTTTGAACCTTTGGAAACTTGCACTTCAAAGCAGCTCTTGCTTGGCCCTCTTCCGAGATGAAGTGTTCCACATTCACAAAGCTGCAGAGGACTTGTTTGTAAATATACGAGGGTAAGTTTTTGTCCTCTTGATCTCCTTTCAGAATCGCCTTTGAAACTATCGATTAATGAAGAGCTGTTTTGAAAATGTTAGCTCATCTAAGTTCTGCTTGAAGACAGTGGCTACTCAAACATGTTTACTTAGCATCTGGATTGTTTCAATCCTGCATAATTTTTCAGGAGCCTTATTTAATAACCTTCTTCTAATTACAGTACTGAGAAAGCCTGATGAATAAGACTTAAAAAGGAAAAGTTGAAGTTGCCCACAAGTCTTAATGTAGGGAAGAGAAATTACATCATGAATGCTGAGTTTGCTTGAAAATTTACAAGTTTTTGCCACTGTTTCTGCAATACATTGTATGAAACTCAAGCAATAACAAAGTTGAGGTCTCTACCAGTTAATACCAGGACCACTTGAGCAGAGAGGGTTGTAGGTTTTGGTGTCCAGTTCTAGAAGTTAGCTCTGAGCAGGAAAATGAGTCTTGTGTGACTTTTTTGCTGTATCCTACTTGCTGTGGCATCACAGCTTTTTCAAAGTTGTGCTACTGATACTTATTACTGTGTTGGCTTTTTTACTTGCAGTTACAACAAGCGTATTAATGACATCAGAGAGTGCAAAGAAGCTGCTGTTTCACATGCGTGAGTACACGACAGTGTTTTTCTACATACATTTTAGTGTTTTTCTTAGTCAACTTGGAACATGAACAGAATTTGTTCAATGTTGGACGAATTATGCATTTTCAAATGAGATAATGTACTGATAGTTCTTTTAAGTCTGGATTTGCCCAATGGTATGCCATTATTGATTTGACTTCCCATGATTTAGATGGTTTTTCAGATTTTCAGGGCAGATTAATATAGTTTTATATATGCTCCAGTTTTTGTCTATGGGAATGGAAACCAAACAGATGTTTTAGTGCAGTCAAATGCAAGTCACAGACCAGGGCAGAGAACTTTTTTCTTACAAGTTTAGTCATACTTCGGGAATATATAGCATTGGTGATGGGGATGCCAATTTTAATTGAACCATGTCCTTGGAAATACTGAACTTCAGAAGCTGGTATGGTGTGAACTGCCTGTGGCTGGGCTTAAATGTTTGGAAAAATCCAGTGTGGTGTGTTGAGCACAGTGGGTGATGTTTTGGTGTGTTCTTTGGTGCAGCGGTTCAATGCACAGAGAGAGACGCAAGTTTCTGCGTTCGGCGCTCAAGGAACTGGCGACTGTCCTCTCTGACCAGCCAGGCCTGCTGGGTCCCAAGGTAATGACTGTCCTTCTGGTTTGCATTTAGCCAATTTTGCTTTTTTTTGGGAAATAACAACCCCACACTTTGAGAGCAAACCTACTTGGGTTTGAAGATTTCAGGGAGTTGTTGCCTCTTAATGTGCACGAGGTGTCCAAATGTTGCACAGTTCTATAACCTTCAAACAACTTCTCTTTTTCAGGCACTTTTTGTATTTATGGCTTTGTCCTTTGCTCGTGATGAAATTATTTGGCTGCTTCGTCATGCAGATAATATGCCAAAGAAAAGTGCAGATGATTTCATAGATAAGTATGTAACAATTTCTAGTGTGATACCCTAAATATTTGTGGGAACTTCACAGATGAAATGCATTTGAAGACAGGGA